AGGAGGAGGAGCTGGTGGTGGTGGAGGGAATCAGGGCAATTGCTGGGGATGGGGATGTTGGGATCATCCTCCGCCAGGCAACTAAGAGCTCTTGCATACATGATCAACTTATTCAGCACTTCTTTCTTTCTACGTAAAACCAGAAAGTTGTTACTAATAAGCTATTGTTTGGTTGTGACACTCATTTCATCACTCGCAATATTTTTGTTACAAAGAGTTCTATTAGAAGTCAAAAGAATTGATTGCTGTGGATCAGAAATGGAATATTGTCCATGCCCTGATCTGCTGTGTGTTTGAAGACTAATCAATAAAAAGTCATCCTTCAATTTTAGTAATGAAATCTTAGACTCTTTGAATTAATTGCATGTTCATTTTTTCCCTCTGGATGTTTGTTCCATATCATGATATAATTATTACCGTATAATTTATTTTTCCATCTTGTTAGACATTAATTCCTACGCTAGAAGCCTAGAAATAATCTGTCATCATCTAACAAGTGTTTTACCACATTGTTTAATTAATTCCACTTTATGGACGACTTTAATTTAAAATTTATTGAACATCAAATATATAGGTAATTTGGATTCAATTAACATACTTAGGGCTTTCAAAACGAAGCCCAATTTGGTATTTTCCTTGTTATAAGGATGAACCATTTAAATTCTTGCTAAATAAGTAAATATAAAAACTTTAACACTTAGCAATTGTTGAATCATTAATGTGGGAAGTCGACTATATTTACATCTAAGCCAGGATAGTAAATGTTACCAACCTCTAAACCCAATTATAAACTAGCCCAAATTCCATGCATGAAGTTGAGAAGAAAATAAAACATGCATAAAGAGTTGGTCTTGGTGATCTTAAATGCATAAAGTGTGACTTCAAAGAAGATCCTCTGAACGGAACCTTTAGAGCCAAATACATGATTTCAGTTACACCCAATAACCTTAAAAATGGATGGTCCTGATTGTTTTGGACCCATGCTTGTGTATACTTTTAAGGTCCAAAGTGTCGGGTATGAGGCATGGACAATACTTGTTATACATAAAGTTTTGTCCATAAAACAAACGAGTTCAGAAAATGAATAGTGACAACGTAATGTCCTATTTGTGTAAATCACCCGTTTATTTTCTAGTGGAAGCGCTAGCCTTCTACCGACATTTTTTACCTCGCATAACTAAATCGTTTCCTAGACGCTTATTATTCAGAAAACATATCTGCTTTTCATTTTAAGAAGAACCAGAAAAGAAGTGCCTGGTCATGTCCATAGCCCTGTCCATTCGTCAAAGCTCTAGTTGTTCGGCGTAACCAAGATTTCAAGCTTATGAGTTTGGAAATTTTAATTGTTTTAAGTTATTATGTTTTAAATTAATAATTTATATATATTTAATAAATTTTTTAAAATAAATATATAATTCGAACTAAAACTATTGGGTTCAGCCGAAACGTCACTCTAGCTCCCCCTAAGGGTCGATATGTTATGCAAGTGGTGATTATGATTCCTGTCCGGAATATGGCAGTGCAAAAGCTTACGCATAGGAAAGGACGAATCTTTGTAGCTTTTCCTCCAAATTTTTACCCAATAATTTTTAAATTTCGCTTATGAATATACTTACATTCTAATTTGCTATAACATGTCATTTTATTATTTTTGTATTACCGAATTAGACTTATTATAGAGAGTGTATAAAAGTTTTTATTATCCATATCTTGGGCAAAAGATAACTAAAATATACATTTAAATTAAACAAACAAAAAAATTTACAGTTGTTGAATCTGGGAATTTTTTAAAATTGAATGAGCTGTAATCATTTTCTTCATTTCTTCTTGTTTCATTCAAGTGCTTTTTATACTGTATTGTTTTTTTGTTTAAAATAAGAGTTGTCAAAGTGCTTTTATAGAATAGCTCATTTAGGCTTGAAATGGCGAAAGTCGAATTCTTGGAGTTTTGGGCCGATAGTAGAATTTTTGATATCGGGGTCAGAATCCTATTCAGAAAGTTGGAATAGGTCCGTAATATCGAATATGACTTGCGTGCAAAATTTGGGGTCAATCGGACGTGGTTTGATAGGTTTCGGCATCGGTTGTAGAATTTTGAAGTTTCAAGTTCTTTAAGTTTGAATTGGAAGGTGATTCATGATTTTAGCACTTTTTGATGTGATTTGAGAGCTCGACTAAGTTCGTATGGTGTTTTAGGACTTGTTGGTATGTTTGGTTGAGGTCCCGGGGGCCTCGGGTGAGTTTCGGATGCTTAACGGATCACTTTTGGACTCTGGAAGATAGCAGATTTCTGGTGTTCTGTTACAGGCATTTTCTTCATCGCGTTCGCGAAGGAGTCCTCGCGTTCGCGTAAGGTATCTGGGAAGGTCAGCTGAATTACTCTTCACGTCCGCGATATTGCTCTCGCGTTTGCGAAGGTGTGAAACCTTGAAGCTACGCGTTCGCGACATGGTCCTCGCGTTCGCAAAGAAGAACTCGAGGTAGGCGAGATTTCGTGCTTCGCGTTCGCGATGGAGATCCTGCGTTCGCAAAGGGTCAACCTGAGTTGTCGTCGCATTCGCGACATGTGCATCACGTTCGCGATGGAGGATTTTTGGGCCGAAGTAAATTGTACTTCGCGAATGAGAGGGTGTGGCCGCGTTCGCGAAGAAGGACGCATCTGGACAGTATTAAAGTTTCCAAAAAACGGAGGTTATGCCATTTCTATCAAAAATTTGAGTTGGGAGCTCGGATTTTGGACGAGGGATTGAGGAATTTTCAGAGATATCGATTGGGTAATGATTCTTAACTCCTTTATGGTTATATTCTACTAATCTATGCTTGAATTCATCGTTTAATTTCGGATTTGGGGTAAAAATTGAGAAAAAAAATTCTTACGCCGAATTTTGGTGTTTTGATCAAGATTTTGGTCTCGGATTTGAATAATATTGGTACGAGTAAACTCGGGAGTGAATGGGTGTTCGTATTTTGCGACTTTATTTGATTCCGAGATGTGGGCCCCACGGGCGATTTTTGAGTGAATTTCAGAATTTTGTTAAAATATTGATTTCATTAATTAGATGAGTCTATTATGGTTGTATTTATGATATGTAATTGCTTTTGGCTAGATTTGGTCCATTCGGAGCCGAATATTCGTGGAAAAGGCATTGTGACCGATTGATTAAGCTTGGTTCGAGGTAAGTGGCTTGCCTAACTTTGTGTGGGGGAAATCCCCTTAAGATTTGAAACTATTGTGATATGTGAGCGCCGTGTACGTGAGGTGACGAGTACGTACACGGGCTAGTTGTGGTAAAACCTCATTTTTTTACTGAGCAGCAACATGTTTTCCTGTTACTTTGAGTTATACCATTTTAATGAGTACAAATCTATTTTATTCTTAATTAAGTTATTCCAATATATGTAGCTATCATATTTAGTCTATTACAACATGTATACGTGTCTTAATTGTTTATGTGAATTATGTGCATCATGCTTAGTAAATTTTCCGCTCCTTCCCTGACTGGTACCTAGCCTAAATTGTAAAAACTTTCGTGATGTAGTTGTATTTTCTATCTTTCGCGCTGCATATTTACTTTGGGACTACGGAACGGTATTTTGGGAGATCCCCATGTCTTGCATATTTAAATTGGGACTATGGACGTATTCCGGGAGATCCCCGTGTCTTGCATATTTATTTTGGGACTACGGACGCATTCCGGGAGATCCTCCAGCACTGCATATTTACTTTGGGACTACAGACGTATTTCGGGAGATCCCCCTGTACTGCATATTCATTCGGGACTACGGGACGGTATCGCGGGAGATTCCACATTGTGTATACCTTGTTCTGAGCTGAGGGTTCCCTTGACTGTTAAATTTCTTTGAAAATTTTCTTTAACTGTTTACCATAAAACTTACTTATATCTTTTTACTGTTTAATTTATTATATTTACTCCGGTAGGGCCTTGACCTGACCTCGTCACTACTCGACCGAGGTTAGGCTTGGCACTTACTGGGTACCATTGTGGTGTACTCATGCTACTCTCTCCACATATTTTTTTTTCATGTGCAGATCTAGGTGCACCTTATCAGCCACACTATCAGTGAGTCGGGACAGCTTTGTAGACTTTAAGGTATATCTGCCGCGTTCGCAGACCTCGGAGTCCCCTTCTACTCTTTCTCATGTCCATTATTTTCTATATCTTCCTTGTTAGATTCTAATGTATAGAGACACTAAACTTTTCCTTCTGTAGTTTGTGATTCACGATGTTTCGGATTTTGGGGATTGTTGTGTATTTTTGAATAGTTGGTTAAATTTATATTTTTATTTCATTATTTCGCAAAGTATTAAGCTTACCTAGTTGTAGAGATTGGGTGCCGTCACGACGTCACACGAAGGAGAAATTGGGTCGTTACATCCCTAAATTAGTGAATTTGGTTGAAAATGATAGAAATTTTCCTAGACTTTAACTGAGGATTTGGAGGTCGAGTTGATGTCGGAATTTGGTAAATTTTGTATGGTTGGACTCGTGGTTGGACGAGCGTTCATATTTTGTAACTTTTATCGGATTTCGAGATGTGATCCCCACGGATAATTTTTGAGCTAAATTTCGGATTTTACTAGAAAATTAGTATTTTCTTATGGGATTAATTCCAATAAATTTTATTGACTAAATCGAATTATTTGTGGCTAGATTCGAGGTGTTTAGAGACCAATTCACGAGGCAAAAGCCTAGCGGAGAAAAGAATTTTACAATTTGAGGTAAGTAACACTTCTAAACTTGGTTCTGAGGGTATGAATCCCCGAATTTGATGTTGTATCAATTGTTTGAAGGTGACACACATGCTAGATGACGAGCGTGTGGGCGTGTACCATAGAAATTGTGACTTAATAAATTCTGTGGAGTTGTAAAATATAAAGAATCATTTTATTATCCGAATATCATCCTCGTGTTAGGAAATTAAGCTGAGACTCTTATTAAAGATCATATTTAGGCTATGTACCGATATTTTTGGACCCATGGGGTCTTGTTGCTATTGAAATAATTATTTTTAAAACAATGTATATTTCACACTCAGTCACATTCATCCATTGTGAGGATATTT